TTGTTCAATGCGAATGCCTTATGCTGGAATATGAGCATTTATTCCGTCATCACCGGGGTGCTGATAGCGAGAGGATTTGTGCATGCGCTCATTTGAAGCGCGCAAATATTAAGCTCTCTCTGAAGTATTGTGTTTAAATGGACAAATTCACACAAAAATTATGTCAAAATGCCCGTCTTGGTAAGTATCCTATAGCAGACATAGCCGGCTGAACGTACTGTATCAGTGCACTGGATCAGTGCATTCTCTTAAAGTGACAGCACTTTCTTAATATTAATCAAACAGCAACAACAAAGAAATCACTCACTGCTCTTGATTGAATAGCTTTTGTAACTTTAATAAAGATTAATCTTTAATTTATACAGTCAAATATGCAATGCTGTTTTACATTTCATTACTTTATTCAATTTCTACCTGAAAACTTATGTTAGACCTACATAAAAAAATATGAAAATAACTGTTTATTTTATTTGTATCTGTACTCTATTGTATTTATTTGTGCTGTTGCTTGTAGTTAGATAGATTATTCTTATTTTCTTTATTTTTATTTATAAAGTATTTATTTATTGACAGTATAGTTTTTGCCTAAACATAGCACATACCGAACAACTAAACTACTTGATTAGTGAGGTCAGTGATTCTTAAGCTTTGATATTTTTAGCAGTGGTGATATTATTGTGTTCAACTTCAGCTGTTAAACATAAGAACATTTGTTTCAAATAATTAGTCATGTTAAAACGTACCAATTCAGAGACCATCCGCATGGGAAGACAGACTGAGTGTTTGTTTGGCTGCCAAATGTTTATTATTCTAATCCGCCAAAAGATTACGCGCTTTCGCAAATGATGCAGCGGCGTGGCCATCACGATTTTCACAGAGCGAGGAACATACGCCACGGCAACGCAGAACAGTTCCGAGGCCATTTTAGCCATCTGGCTATCGAGAGGAGTGTCAGATTGCTGTAATTGTTTCCTAGCTAATTAAAATTCATTATTTATCAGGTAAAGATAACCCATATTGTTTTTGTTACAATTTAAAGGGGTCATATGATGCGATTTCAAGTTTTCCTTTCTCTTTGGAGTGTTGAGAGTAACAACTCATAGGCTCAGAGCACTGATCACCGATCAATCACCCAGCTTATACACTCCAATCACAAGGGGAAAAAAGTTTAGGCCTAATCAAGACAGGAAATATACACATTAGTTTCTGTAATTGTTTCCTAGCTAATTAAAATTCATTATTTATCAGGTAAAGATAACCCATATTGTTTTTGTTACAATTTAAAGGGGTCATATGATGCGATTTCAAGTTTTCCTTTCTAAAAACGCAGGCTTTGCTAGTAGTGCATTTCAATGACATTCACTTTCAATTGACCGTAAGAAGTGATGGGGGAATAGAGGAGGGTCTTATGAAGCTGATCAAGAAATTCCCAGCACAAAAACGCCTGCCAATGCAGAAAACAGATCAACCTCTGTAGACAAGCTAAGAGACGCACGCCATTAACCTGAACCTTAGAGTCAAACTTCAGTAGCATGAAGGATTCTGGGAAACATTATTCACATTTCAGCAGTTAAGACTGACAATTTCGAGTATAATTAGATGGGTGCCAATAAACGTTTGAGAAAAGATTTTACATTGCATATACAGTACAAAGTCAATATTGCATTTGCTCTTATCAAGCTGTAAAATATAAACCATTTTACCTTCGTTGCAGAATCGGCCAACGTATTCCGTCTTAGAACAATCACAAAGCGGTTCCCCATCCACAACTGAGCACGTTCCTCCATTCTCGCATGGGTTCTCCATGCAGATCCCCTCTATGTCCATGCGGACCCTCTGGCTGCTTAGCAGAATAGGTTCCTTGTTATTGTACTTCAGTTCCCTGATAATTCCCTTAAACAGCGGAAGATCCTTCACTGTCGGGAGAGTGAGCACAGAAATACGAATATCTTGAGGGACTCCGCCCAGGTAGAGGTCACTAACGATCTTCATGTACTGCCTCTGTGGCCGCACCTCGCCCGATTTGCTCACTCCGTCCAGAACCAGCACAGTTCTCAGGTTGTACCTGCTCAGGGTGGCAGAATGCCAGCTGCTGTCATTGACTCGCTTGTCCGATACGACTGTGGTCTCGGCGCAGTCGATGCCGAACTGCAACTGGAGCTTCCCTTCGACCACCATGAGTTGCAGGAAGTCGCAGAAGCCACCATCGTCAAAGTACAGGATTAAGGCGGTGGACACGTCTGTTTTGAACTGGAAGCTGAGGTCACTTCTGGTGCTGGCGTCCCAGCGTAGATAGCGTGCCCACTGGCCTTGCGACCCTGTAAACTCCAGGCCCAAGCAGGGCCCAAGAACAGTACTGATCAGCAGCTGCAACTGGACTGGGAATCTGAAGAAATTCATTGTAAAAGTGCTGGAGATTTGGGTTTATTATCCTGAACAGAAGGAAATCATTGAATTTGCTTTGGTTCAAAGGTCAGTATATCCAAAGTACATCCCACAGTATGCCCAGAGATACTAAAGAAGAGGTGAGATCGTCAACGCAGCGACAAACAAAAAATATCCTAAAAGAGGAGAAGGAGCTAGGAGGAGAACAGTCTTAAATAACAGTCATAAGGCCAATGACATTGCACAACAATCCAATCTCTGTCAGGCGAAAATTAAAGTACTTCTTCCACGTTTCCTGGAATGGATCGACTTGAGGAGACGAGCAGATGAGGTGCTGTGTGTCTGCTGAGGTGCTGTTTTCTTCTGGTATCTCCTCAGACTTTAATCATCCAGACAGGTCCTCCAGGTCGGACTCTTTCTGTATTTAGGGAAACCAGCGCCGACTGCATGATGCCTTGTGGGTAATGTAGTCCATACTGTTACTCTGCCCCGTCTAGCACACAATAGCTGTCAAAATAGAAAAGCATCAAATTACAAACGAATCCACGAATGTCTCAGTCTATCGAGTGTGTGATTTTTTTATGCATAAAACACAAAAGCATAAAAATATATTATGTAACAAAACAATTCAGTACTTTCACAAATATTATCATGAAAAGCTGCATTTGAATAAGTCTCTCATCATTTTGTAAAACGCAACTCCTGATAAAGCCTAATTAAAAAAGTTTCTATTTTAGAGGCATTTTACCCAAAAGATTCTTGTGTGTTATCGGTCATCTAGTGTGTAAATTACCAGCATTATTCACATGGCAGCTCCAGCTATCATTCAATAGCAGCGAGTCCGTGTTTATCTGATGATGTGGAAAATTAAAAGGCTTTCTGCAGGATGCACAATGCATGAAAACAATAATATGCATGTCCACACATTCTCATGACACATAATCCACATTTCCAGCACCATAGTCATCTAAACACTAGGTCTAAAAACCTATAATATTTTGCTTTAAAAATATTTAATTTAGGTGTGGTCCTTCATTTTGAAAAAAAAAATGCATTGCATAAAGATGATCTATAATTAATAATAATCTTAAATAATCTAATGAATAATCAAAAATTATTGTGCATTATTATTATAATTTTTTTTTTTTTTAAGGAATGTTGCATAACAAGATGCAGTAAAAATGCAACGGAAATGTTTATTTTATGGATTAAAATAATTACAGGGCTTTTTTAACACATCCTTAAGCGCAAACAAAATGGCCTGTTTTGTTCTACAAATATGAGAGAAGATTCCCATGCTGAAGTTTGGCCTTGAACCAGCACAGATTAGTAGGACTTTTGTGAAGGCAAAACGCAGCTCCGGCTCCTCTTAACATGTGTCCTCTACGTGCATAAATGAATAGGCTCCAATTACATGGCAACATGCGAGGTGTAACCTAATAGACATCTAATATTGCCCGTGTCCTTGCCAGAGCCGTAGGCAGCAGGTACGGCAGGACAATAGTGCTTCCAGCCCACGCGATTCAACCGAGCCGAAACACAATGCATGCCGTCAGAGCTCTGCCTGCTGCAGCTGAAGAGGGGAAAAAGAGCGAGAGACCGCGTGCTTGTAACAGATACTCCACGTTGGCTCTCTCCCACACCTCGAAATATGCATGTGTGCTTTCTCTTTTTCTTTTTTTGTCGGGCGAGGGCTTGCAAAGAGGAGGAGAGCGGTGAAAAGGCTAAACTGAGCACATCATTGTCCTCATTGATATGTGATTGACACACCCCACTGGGAACGGCACACGACACCACAAAATAAAACCCCTGCGTTTGGATCCCGCTTAAAAAGTCGGTGAGTAGGAGGAGGTGGTGTAATGGAGGAAGGGGGGCATGTTAATGACAGCAGGCCCAACCATTCATCAGACACACAAAGCTGGGTTTTACCACAGGTGCCTCAATTATGCTCTGCCATTACACCAGAAGAGCTGCGACAAAATGTCCTCCAGTGCGCCCGATGATATCATGGAGGCTTTGGGAGGAGGTGCACGCCATTTCAGCGAGCTCGCTCCGTAAGTGACACGGTTGCCGTCGAGCCTCAGCGTGGTGGAGCGGAGGAGTGGGCGAGGTAAAGCTGGGGCAAAATGGATGACATCAGCATCCGGTGCTCTCCTCCTGGGCTGCCAGCCGGCGAATGGGAGGCGTGAGGCTCCTACCTGGCCTCATATAGCCTCCCCCCAGTGACCCAGAGTGGGCACGGGTACCACCAGCAACCCCCTAAACAACCCACTGCAGAGGAACAGCGACTTGTGAGTGGTTCTGCAGCAGTCATTTACGGCATTACATCACCTTGCCAAAACACACCATCCTTGTGCCATGATTCACTATAATACCTCTCATAATCAGAAACAGAGGATTAGGAATATGATTTATGACCAAATTTCACTGTGGTAAAGGTGTGGTGTGTGTGCATTATATAGGGCTCTGATCAAGACAGAAAGATCACGTCACACTGCGGTGTATTGGAAAGGCAGAGCACATTCGATGAGTGTTTTGGAGACTGAGCATTACACAACGCCAATAGGAACTATTATTCAATGCGACACAGACAAAAAGGCGATTTTAAAGAATTTAAAAAAAGAAAAAAAATCTAACGCGGCAGAACGATATTCGTTACAAAATTGGGAAATGTGTTATATGTGTTTCTTATTATATTCGGTAAACAAAACGAAAATATATATTATATTTTACATAGCGTTCATTAAATATCTAATACATTTATATGTGCATATATATGTGTATTTTTCAGTTTTAGAATTATCAGAGTGAATTCTTCTAATTCGTTTATCTCTGTGGAAAAATACATCGGTTGCATTAAAATCATTTAGCTGTCTTGGCTTGGTATGTAAATGGAGATTATAACCAACACCCGTGAGAACAAAACGATACAAAATACAGGGAAACGAAACAATATAAATGTCCTTTTATTTTAATTTTAGCTAACGTGTAATGCGATTTAATACATTTGAAACAGATGTATATTTTTAAGCAAAAAATCTTTATATGGATTATTAAATTTGAATGGTTTTGTGCTCCAATATTTCGTTTTTAAAACAGCATTTCGCTTCGTTTCACCCGTCTAAAATGGTGCACAATATACACACAAAATGTGCTCTAATACACTGAAATCTCGCTTTTGATCCAAATTATTAGTGCACAATTCAGTCACCTAAAATAAGGCACGTCAGTCTCACAAATAAATGAGCACATGTATAAACAGACCGAGGACACTGCATCATATTTCACACAAAAGATGTCACAAAACACCACAGGGTGAAATTATATTCGAGCGTCGTGGAGAAATTAAACACGCTCGAATAAATATATGATATATTATTTTAATTCAGACATACGTATTCATTTTCATTTCTGTCAGCTGTGAAAAAAAATCGTCGATGAATGTGTGTGTTTGACAAGGCCGCGCTCAGGAAATATTATCTACCCCGACAATTTCAGGACAAACGATACTGTCTGGGTGGATGTGTTAACATTTCGGCAAAAATGTTAACACACAAATACAATGTGTCTAGCCCAATTATTATTTTGACAAAAACATTCAATGTAGGCTACTAAAAAGCACAAGCCTGAATCGTCTACCTTTAAAATGAGTGTGTGAGCGCGCTAGTGTGTGTTATACTGGCTTATTACCAAAGTCTATTAAATTCCAGGAGATCTAACTGAGCCACTACAAATTGATGAGAACGAATTAAGATATTCTAATAATGCACTGTACTCACTTGAGCACTTCAAAGTGAGACAAAAAGAGCTGAACGTGCATGTTATGTGCAAACGTGCAAAAAGTCAGTTAAAAAAAATTCTAACATTTCAATTATTGTGACATCAAGACAGATGTTTATATCGAATAATTTATAAGGGTTTGTGAATATTCTTAAATCACTGCAACGTGTTAATAGCCACCCTTGAACTATTTATAATATTTTTTAATAAATATATTTTTAATAAAAGACTGCTAAAATTTCCCTATACATTTTGTCTAATAAAATCCAGAATAAAGTAGTACACTAATAGATCATATTAGTAAAATGTATTAGGCTAAGTACACCACATGTGTGCATCCTAAAAATTTATTTTAACCAAATAAATTTGTAGCAAGTGTTAATACATTTTCATACATGCGCTAAAAAAGAACATGGATATGCGTCCCTGTGTATTTGACCAGTCCATGTCTAGGTGCATTCATAAGGATGGACCTGCAGTGGGCATGCGTGTTGTTTATCCTGAGTGGCAGTTGATCATGGGCTCCACGGACACCTGAGAACTCTTATTCATTATTCACAGCCACAGATCAAGAAAAACAGGTATCTTGAGAGCAAAGCGCGAAATTGTTTGTTACATGTTTACGGAGGAAAAGGCGTGCTTTTTTCGTGTTTACTACAAGAATACAGGCCTATGTTGTCAAACTTACTGAAAATAAACGAAATATTCTGTGATATTTCGGGCAGCTGACAAAAAAAAAGTCAGTACATATTTATTTTTGTACCTAAAATGTAGTCTCGAAACCGCTCAACACAGAAATATTTTGCTGTTTCCACACTGAGCTCTGTATAGAAGATGACCGTCTATCCTTGAAGAATAAATACTCGTAAATGTATTTTTAGAGTTCGACAGCGTGTGTAAAACCTCTTTTCGTTTTTTGTGTTGTGGGCCTGAATGATAATATAGTTTAGTATTTGTATCGCGCTACTCCGCGAAACAACGCGAATGTCATTTATTTTGATTCAGTGCAACACGCCGCGTCCACAGAAATAAAAATAAAATTAAACAACAACCGTGATTTACAATGTAAAAACAAGCCTACTAAGTGTAAATACTCGAAGTAAGTGATGAACTTAAAACATCCCGGCGAGCTGTCAATCATTCCGTACCAAAAAAGAAAAAAGAAACCAGACTAACCTCAGTTTTCGTAAAAATATCCCAAAGCGTAATAATCCACATTACATTCCCAACAGGCTCTATGTGTTTGGTCCACGCCGCTAAATGTCGCTTTTTCACGGTCTTGTGTGAGGATGTTTTACCCTCGTTCTGTGCTCGCTTGCAGTTACAGAGAGCCGCGCGCTCAGAGATACTGTTGGACAGTCACGAGATTTTCACACACGCGCCGCGCGACCCCGCCTTCCTCTTACTGCGAGGCTCGCGCCATTTAAAGGAGTAGTAAAATCTGAGAGAAAACTTGGCCAAAATCAAACGAGTTTCTTTTAGAAGCGGTAGATACATTTATATGGGGAAAGGGACACGAAATGTCTACGAGATGTCTGTGTTCTGTTTGCTTACATTTGTGGATCCATGCTGACTTGATGAAGTCCCCTCAGAAACGCGCCGTTTCTTCTAAAGATTTCAGTCATCCTCTCTTACCAGGAGACTCGTTAAAAATGGAAAGTATAGTATGTCATTTCGCAACAATACCTGCAAGAAACGCGTATTATGTGAGTGAATGCGTCTGTGGTCATTTTTGGACAGTTTTCAATAGGCCTATGTATAAAAGAAAATCGCTAAATGTTTTTTGTAGGCTATTAGAAATTAGCAGGCTTTGCAGCATTGTCCCCAAAGCGTAATAATCCACATTACATTCCCAACAGGCTCTGTGTTTGGTCCACGCCGCTAAATGTCGCTTTTTCACGATCTTGTGTGAGGATGTTTTACCCTCGTTCTGTGCTCGCTTGCAGTTACAGAGAGCCGCGCGCTCAGAGATACTGTTGGACAGTCACGAGATTTTCACACACGCGCCGCGCGACCCCGCCTTCCTCTTACTGCGAGGCTCGCGCCATTTAAAGGAGTAGTAAAATCTGAGAGAAAACTTGGCCAAAATCAAACGAGTTTCTTTTAGAAGCGGTAGATACATTTATATGGGGAAAGGGACACGAAATGTCTACGAGATGTCTGTGTTCTGTTTGCTTACATTTGTGGATCCATGCTGACTTGATGAAGTCCCCTCAGAAACGCGCCGTTTCTTCTAAAGATTTCAGTCATCCTCTCTTACCAGGAGACTCGTTAAAAATGGAAAGTATAGTATGTCATTTCGCAACAATACCTGCAAGAAACGCGTATTATGTGAGTGAATGTGTCTGTGGTCATTTTTGGACAGTTTTCAATAGGCCTATGTATAAAAGAAAATCGCTAAATGTTTTTTGTAGGCTATTAGAAATTAGCAGGCTTTGCAGCATTGTCAAGAATATCTAAAAACACAATAATCTAGTTATTTGATTTATTGAATAATTTGTCATAAACAATACTCTAATTTGAAAAAGTGTTACATCTGGACCCTTATTTGAAGAACCTCACCAGAGTTTTTTCAACTTTTCACCTTTGACCATTCAGAAATTCAGCATTTTTTTTTTTACATCTATGAATCTAATTTGACCTAAATTTATGTAATTTTCTCCTACTTATCCCCTCACAAAATATACTGTCCTCTATAATAGTGTGCAATGAAACTAAATATCCTAAAAACACTTTTGTATTCAATAATAATGCACTTTGGGACCAGATAAAACATCCCAGTGTAGCCTAATCAATAAATGTGCCAGTGTTTTTTTCCTTGTGGGTGCACGTACTTAGGACAACAGAAAGGCCTGAGAGAATCTGCTGTCCTTGGTGCTGAACTTCACCACAAACACAACTGCTGTGCACCAGCCAAATTTATGTAATTTTCTCCTATTTATCCCCTCACAAAATATACTGTCCTCTATAATAGTGTGCAATGAACTAAATATCCTAAAGACACGTTTGTTTTCAATAATAATGCACGTTGGGACCAGATAAAACATCCCAGTGTAACCTAATCAATAAATGTGCCAGTGTTTTTTCCCTTGTGGGTGCACTTACTTAGGACAACAGAAAGGCCTGAGAGAATCTGCTGTCCTTGGTGCTGAACTTCACCACAAACACAACTGCTGTGCACCAGCTAAATTTTGAATTGAATGAGGGGTTTAGTGGCAATGTATTTTGAGAGTATAAAGCTATTTTCCAGATAGTTTTATACTTGGGACGCAAGTGAAATCTGCACACTCAAAAAACTAACATTGCAATCGATAGGTGTTGACCATGTCATTGATTTGCAGCCCAAATGATCCATCATAGATCCTACAGAATATTGAGCGTTTCTCTGAGTTGAATGGATCGAACCTCTCCGGCCTGCAGAGTCCAGCTCATCTGAAGCTGTATGATACGTGTTTGAGGCAGAAAAGCTATCAGAGGTAAGCATGTTGCAATGTTGAGATTCTTCTAGTAGCGCTTTATCACATGCAGTGCCTGTGAGATGACTATGTTTTGGTCTCATTCACACAGTAAGAATGATAGTTAGGCTTCCACTCTTTTGTGTGCCTGTCCATTCCAGTATTCACCAGAGACTAATAGGTCTTGAGGCATCTACAAGCCCTGTATGACAGACTGGCTCTCTTTATCCCCTTCAGGACATTTCAGACACTACGCAAAGACAAGCTTTCCAAACCACCCTCTAAGAAACAGTCCCTTCACCTGAAAGCTTGACATCTCCCTCATTCACTCACATCCAACCAATTTCCTGTCATTACCAGTACACAGCCAGGTCAGATGGCATGTCACTACTGTTGTTTTCATGCAAACTCCATGCCCTTTTATCTTCTGCAGTACAGGAGATACTGATACTCTGTGTACATATAAAGATATGTGACCCTGGACCACAAAAGCAGTCATAAGTCACACTTGTGCTACAGATATAAGGTATATCTGTAGCAATAGCCAACAATACACCGTATGGGTCAAAATTATAGATTTTTCTTTTATGCCAAAAATCATTAGGATAATAAGTAAAGATCATGTTCCATGAAGATATTTTGTTAATTACCTACCGTAAATATATTAAAACTTAATTTTTGATTAGTAATATACATTGCTAAGGACTTAATTTGGACACCTTTAAAGGCAATTTTCTCAATATTTAGAATTTTTTGCACCCTCAGATTCCAGATTTTCAAATATTGCCCTATTCTAACAAACCATATATCAATGGAAAGCTTATTTAATCAGCTTTCAGATGATGTATAAATCTCAATTTCAAAAAATTGAACCTTATGACTGGTTTTGTGGTCACATATATGAAGATCGTGACAGATATAAAGATACACATCAAATTGAAGTAGACCGAGACAGATATTAAATCTGTGGAATTGGACTGAACATAGTAAAATATTTAAAAACTCAATGGACATTCCAGGAATTCTGTGACTGCTTTGACCCTATATATTTTCTAAATGCATGTCATTGTTCTCATTGTGAACGATTCATCCGTGCATGCTTTATTTTTATTTTTTTTACCTCATAATTTTGAATTAAAATAACAACTTGATCTTTTGATTAATCTTAATCAATCATTTATGTGCACAGAAGCTGCATCTGAAGCAACATGGCTAAAAACAAACTCATCTACATCTTGGATGGCCTAAGAATAAGTAAATTATCAGCTTTTTTTCATTTTGGGAGAACTATTCCTTTAACGTGCCCATGTAAATACAGCAGACTTACCACATAGCATAGAGACTGAGAGTTTTATCTGCAGAAGATTTATATTGAAGCATTACAGCAGGATGTTTGCCACCTGTTGTCATTCAATATATCGTGACATAAAACAAAAGAGAGAAACAGATGACAGCCTTCGCACTCACTAACAATCTGAGTGCATAAAACAGTACAGTACACCTGTACAGTACAGAGAGCAAAGGAAACCATCTGTTTACTCTCCTAAGCACTGCAAACAACCTGCCTGCTAGCTACTCTGGCATCATCAGCGTGTAAGGAGAGTTTACAGGGTGGCATTCTGCAGATATTGATTTCTGCAGTTAATTCATAAAAGTCTCAGCTGTTCTTTTTCAATTAAACCTGGAAGCCGCCTGGGTCAAGTGGATCAATTTTGCGCCCGCAGGTATGAGTTCAGAGCAGATTTACTTAGATTGACTAAGTAAACAACATATTGACTGACACACTCCCATTCCTGAGCTTCCTGTGTTGCAGCTGATGACACAAGCTGAAAAGAGAGCATGCTGGGAGAGACTGACAGCTCTGTTCTCATATTCTGTTTAACTTTGCTCTGGAAGACTGACCTATGGATTTATCAGTTCCAGGGTTTACTTTTAACCTAGTATTTCTTGTTGTAATAAGTATTTTTCTTTTCTTTTCTTGGTTTCCGTAGAGCAGAGGCACCAGCCAAGGCATCTTTCTCTCTCTCGCACACTCTTATTCAAGTCTAGTGTCAGAAGGAAATCAGACAAGCAACACAAGCTTTGTTGTAAAAGGATGATAAGGGAAAAAAGGATAAGTTCAGTCACTGCATAATGGCTGGCTTTACTATGAAAGACCTCTGTTTGCAAAGCGCATAAGAAAGTCAGGTTTCTGCAGCATGATTTTAAGTCTTAGTCTGAGCAAATCTAAAGCCACCATTTCATAAAATCGGATAAAATAGAGAAGAGCTTCCTGCTGGGGGTACAATAATAAACTGTATACACCATAATTTAACCTTCAGGGTGAATGTACACTACAAATAATCAGTTAAAGGGATAGTTCGTCCATTATTTATGATCTCTAATGTATACTACTGGACTTCTACTTTTGTCATCATTTACTCACCCTCGTGTCATTCCAAATTTGTACAATTTTCATTCTTCTGCAGAACACAGAACAAGATATTGTCCAAATTATGAAAGTCAACAAGGTCCATTTCTAAAGCGAAATGATTTTGGACAGTATAAATATTTGTATTTGTATACAAAATATATACAAATAGGCCAAAAAATATATGAGGAAATTTAAATAACTAAAATATATTGAACATTTATTCATTGAAATATATTGTAAAATCAATCTTTTGTGGTCATGTTTTGCATATATTCAAATATATTTAAAATTATATCTGAAAATATATATCATTTTTGCAGTATAGACAGACTACATCAAATATGGCAGTACAAACCTCAAATGTCTAATAAATGTCATTATTAGTTCTTGCAAGTCGTGTGAACAAACGTCATGATGTGCGAGACGTTTCTGAGAACGAATGAGCTTTACGGTTTGAAATTTTTTTAATTTTTTTTATTTT